GGAACCAACCACAATCACAAAATCAGCCTCCGTGTCAGCAGTATCAGATTCGTTCCCTTCAACAACGAACATCTACATCGAATCTGCATCAACAATGAGTCTCGCAACATTACATCCAACTCTTAGCACAACCTTAACAGACACTCAAACATCCACAACAAACCTAAATTCAACATCTCAAGACCTAAACTCAACTTCAAAACACCCTTCTACCACAGTCCTCCATTCCCAAAACTCTCTTTCCGCAGCAACATCGCAAAACATGCTGTCAGCTTCCCCTTCTCACGGAAACATATCCACAATCGCGTCAGGCGTTTCAACCGCAACATCAACAAAACAAGGCTCCATGGCTTCATTAGCCCCCAAAGAATCAAAAACCGTGATATGCGGTACAGACATCCCCATCCCAAAATCCACAGACTCCACAACCCAAACCCTCGACATTGAAAACCCGCTCCAAAAAACCGTGAATCAGTATAAAAAACAGGTTTCAGATCTCCAAGCCGCTCTCCGCACAAGCGAAGCGAAAGAGCTCGAGACCGCTGCGGAAGTATCCATGTTGAAAGAGACACACGCGAAACATGTGTTGGATGTTGAAAAGAAGTTTGAGGGTGTGATTGAGGTGGAACGGTGTCGTGTTGCTGAGGCTTTGGGGAGGGCGGTGGAGTTGGAGAGTAAAGTCGCGCAGCTTACGAATGACAAGTCGAATGAAGCGGAAATACTTGCGATGAGGGATGCGGAGATTGTGGAGCTTAAGGAAGAGATTGAAGGGTTGAAGAGACAAGGTATATGTTTTTGTATGGTTCTGGTAAGGATATTGCTAATATGGTTTACTCGTCGTTGTACAGCTCAAGAACTCGATAAAGAAAAAGCACAGATGGAATCTGACTTGGAAGTTGCGAATATGGATGTATTTACACTTCAATCTGAAGTTGCGACACTCAAAGAAACGCTGGACGCAAAACAAAGAGAATTCCAAACAGCTCTTGAAGAAAAAGAGAGGGAACTCCAAACTTGTCGCACTGAAAATCAAGAAATGATCGAGTCTCTGAAATTGGAAGCAAGGAAAGCTGTTGCGGAAGCAGCAGACGCGAAAGGGTTAATGATGCAGAGTAAGAACCGAGCTGGCGAATTGCATCATCAGTTGGTTATGCTACAGGAACGGAGCAGCCAAATTGAAGATCTATACAATGCACTTCTGGTTTCCTGCAAAGCGAATGAATATAAGGTGAAAGAACTGGACGCGATGGTAGACACAATAATGAGGTACCCAGACGTGAGTTTAGGACAGCCATTAGAGGACCCTGGTCAGTGATTTAACAATATTTGTATAGTACTAATATGAAAACGTCAGGAGACGGACAGTACGATGAATTATTCAAGGAAATGATCAACAGCAACAATATGCGGATATCACTGTTGGAACAAAAGAACAACGAATATCGATACATTCGAATGAAGAATGGTAACAGATTGATTACTGTGTCACATTCGAACTAAAGAGACATATTATAGCCGACGGAGATGACTCCAAATATCGTGAATATTTATCAAAGAGAAATTCTGTACCTGTTAAACTGTTTTCTGGGGACCGGCATTTGGATCGGCACACTAGTATGAGTGTACCACGAGTTGGATCAAGCAATAGCAGCCCTTCCATCGTTATACCTGGTACTCGAACAAGCAGTAAGCACAGCAACAGCAATATTCAAAGGACAAGTCAAAGTCAGATACACGACGAAGTTGATTTGGTGTCAACAATTGTTCATTCTTCGACCAAGCAGTTGTACCATCACAATCAACATTCGTCATCGCGGGATCTCAAGAGTCCCATGCCTTTAGGTGTCGCAGCTGACATTATATTGAACGGGACAGGAATTGGGACAGCTACTACAACGTACACACACACAGAACTCCGAAAACTATCCAACCCATCAGTGCATCAGAACCAAATACTCCAGCAACATAAAAAAGAAAAAGAGAAAGCAAAACAGTATCAAGCACATTTATACCGGCATCATGAGAAACTTCCGGGGAATAATGAACCAACGAAACCGCAGTCACCGGCTGGAACATTGCAACAAAAGACGCTTGTGCTGGAGCCAAAAGAGAAAGTGACTGCACAGTTTGAAAGGAATCCTGAGGAACGGAAGCGTGGGATGTCACATAGCCATGAAGTGCAGAATTACAAGCAGTTGAGGAATCCAAATGAAGTGGAGAGGAAGAAGGAAGGGGTAGTTGTTGTGCCAAGTGGAGGGAGAATCAAGACACATTTCCCTGTAGATGAGCATAAAGACTTTAAGGTGATGGAGGATCGTATTGTCGAATAAAAAATGGCACCCCCATCAACGACACCATTGAAAGCAATCCTCTTTGATCTCGGCGGAGTAATCCTCCACATTGACTACGATCTCACCGCCGCGGCCTTTGAAAAGCACTTTGGCATAGTTGGCTTTGCATCGCGGCTGTTTTCGCAGGGTTCGCAGACGCAGTTTGTCGATGCGTTCGAGCGCGGACAAATCAGCGCGCAACAGTTTGTGTCCGAACTGCGAAGCTGCGCGGCCTTTGATTCGGACGAACGCGCGCGGCTTTCGAGTTCGAGTGCGAGTGCGAGTGCGAGTGCGAGTGCGGCTGAAGCGATTGAGAAGTGCTGGAATGCGATGTTGTTGGACATGCCGAACGAGAGGGTTGCGTATCTTCGCACGTTGAAGGAACGCGGGCTCAGGCTGTATCTGCTCTCGAACATTAATGCAACGCATGAGGCTGAGGTCGATCGTATCATTGAGAGAGACATCCAAGGCGGCGTTAAGGCATTTCGGGACTGCTTTGACTACATCTACTATTCACATCATATTGGCCGCAGGAAGCCGGATCCTGACACGTTCGAGTGGGTCTTGAGCGATATCGCGAACAGGGACGGCATAGCGAAAGACGAAGTGGTCTTTTTCGACGATTCAATCCAACACATCGCTGGTGCTAAGTCTGTTGGATTGCGGAGTTATTTGGTACCCAAAGAACATAATCTGGTGGATGTGGTTGATCCTGTCTTGAATGAACAGCAATAAATGCACGTCACAGTGTAAAACATCGCTGAAATCCTTAGAATATACTATTATGATACCATAGAATGATGTATTTCTCAATTATTCATTATGTCTGCGTATTACTCTTCCCTTCTTTCTTTTTTTCCCAGCAACCATCACCATTGACAACAATATGGACACTGCCGCCCAGAAACAGGCAACAAAAGGCAACAAGAGGCCAAATGATCAATCAAACTCAACAAACGAAAAGAAGAAACAAAAGAACGAGCCCAAACAGACTGCTCCAACAACTCAACAGAAATCAACATCAGCACCTGCACCTGCAAAGGGCGCCGCGGCCAAGATTGCTGACGATAAAAAGGCAAAGCTGTTACAGGTAAACCCTTAGCAGTTCTAGTCCACCACGATCAACCACGGTTCCAACTCTTTACTTAACTGAATCATTCAGGCTCTTTCGCGTAGCAAACAAATCTCCGAATCGTCTTCTAAACCCGCCTCGAAACCAGTCGCTCAACCAGCTTCATCTAGCGTTGTAAAGAAACCTCATCAACTTTCAAAACCTACCCCAAAACCACCTCAATCCGTGAAACCAATTTCGACAACACCACAAAATGCCAAACTGACGGATTTACAAGCTAAAATGAAAAAGACTCTCTCTGGTGGACGGTTTCGTATGATCAACGAGCAGTTGTACACAACAACCAGCGATATTGCCGTTGAATTATTCAAAGAAGCCCCTGAAACATTTGATATTGTAAGCGATTCTCAAATTCCACGCGAAAATATCCCATTTTTTAATTGAGAGGTTTTTATAGTACCACGAAGGATTCCGTGCCCAAGTAGAGCTCTGGCCGTCCAACCCAGTCGACCACTTTATCCAAACCCTCTCCGCCGCGAAAATCCCTAAAACCAAGCCTCTCGTGATTGCAGACATGGGGTGCGGAGAGGCCGCCCTCGCTCGATCCCTCCTCTCCCAAAACACTCCTGAAAAGCAAAAGTTCACGGTGCATTCGTTTGACCTCGCGTCTCCAAACGAGTTTGTCGTTGCGTGTGATATTCGAAGTGTTCCTTTAGAGGACGGGGTGTGTGATGTTGTTGTGTTTAGTTTGAGTTTGATGGGGACCAATTTTATTGAGTTTCTCGAAGAGGCTTGGAGGATTTTGAGGGATGGGTGAGTGTTGTTTTTGCTATGTATTTGTGATATTGAATTGACTGTATGGCGGTAGAGGACAATTGAGAATCGCGGAGGTGGTTAGTCGATTCCCTGACATTGACAAGTTTGTCGAGGCACTCACTGCGATTGGATTCAAGTTGACAAAGAAGGTGAGTTGGGTTTGAATCTTATGCAATGATTGCTTATGGGTATCAGGATGCAAGCAACAAAATGTTTATTCTGTTTGACTTTTTGAAAGTTGAAAAGCCGACTGGTGCCGCAGCTTCAAATGGAAAGAAGAAGGGCAAGAAAGCTGTTGAGGGTGATGATGAATCTCAACCATTGTTGACCCCGTGTCTTTATCGCAAACGGTAATCACCAATAAATCAAGCCATATGAAAAAAGATTCACATATGAATTTGCTTAATTTTCTGGATTCTTGCGAAGGCAGGTTTACATGAATGTTCCTTGTTCAACATGTTTCAATGCAACACAGTAACTCTGATGGAAGCTCGTGGCGGTTCTGACGTGCAAATTGATCGTCGAACTTAGGTATAGGAAATTAAACCATCTAGTCACAGCGGAGCTGCGGAATAGTTGCGAATATATGTGATCAATTCCCGTATATATTCCAAGCAGCAAACCACAATTCGCGTCCCCTCAAAAAAACCCTCATGACACGCATCAAAGGGGACACTGAAAACATCCGCCACGATTCCGCACTTCACCCTCAGACTGCAATCCCAATCAACCTGACCCACACCGTCTACCCGCTACATCTCCGTCCCGCAGAAAAAGTGGAGCACCCGATGCCGGGTTTGAACCGGCGACCCTTTCCTTAGGAGGGAAACACTCTACCACTGAGCTAAACGGGCCCTTCCCCCTACCCCCCCCCCAGCTTTGTTCCCCACATCTAATTTTCGTGAACCAAGCCGCAACTGAACAATCAAGTGATGACGACGGTGGCAGATCAAATTCTGTGGATCAGCTACAACAGCCGGTAGAAGTTCAACAGCTAGGTAGCTCATGCTTAATTTCGTGAGTATCATATAAGAATTGTAATTCAGTTTTGATCCGCTTCAAGCTGTTCCTTTTTGATGTCTTCCAGTCATTTTGAGACTGTCCTCTCCTCCATACATTTAATAGTCATGAATGAGATTTGTTGTGTTAGGCTGTACTTGATTGGTCTACCAAAATTCAACAATGAGGTGATTGGCGGAAGAAATGCAAAGATTCTTGATTGGATACATCCCTTTCCTCTTATTATAACTTCTTGAATTTGAAGCTTTCCTTCGCGACGTGTTCGAAACTACAAGACCTTTCCAGACAATCACCTCTACTTGATTATTTGACGAGCAACTCATAATGTTTCATTCAAAAAGCATGCCTATGATCATGCTTGTGGCTCTAATTTGCGTAACCTGCGTTACCTTGTTCACACAGATTCACCTTGCAGATATAGAACCACCTGAATCAGTTCTGATTCCTTCAATACCAACCAAATCTGCCTACACAGTCAGCAGCACCAATTTGTCAGCAGCATGTGACTTGCGTTCAGGATCAATTAAGATGAGAATGAAGGGCTTTGTTCCTTCAATTAAAATCCGTCCACCACAATCTCGAGCTGTCATTACGATATTCGCACCTATGACTTCAAACACAACATATGACACAAATTTTGCGGATGCTCTGCTGTTGGCATATCAATTCAAATCCTTGCCTCGAAAGAATAAACCTGGGGTCGAATTCGTCGTTGCTCACGTTGGACCATTATCAAAATTAGCAAAGACATCCTTTCTGGATTTGGGAGCGCGTCTTTTACAGGTTCCTGATATATTGGAGGAAAAGAAGTTGGAATCAAACGAGGATGGATTCAAACCTTGTGGTAGATCTTGTTTTGCAAAAATTTACTTGTTTGGCCTTGAAGGTGTGTTCAGCGATATCCTCTATGTTGATTCAGCTTCAGTGCTTTCAGACTCAATATCTTTTGATGATGTGTTTTCTCTTTCAACTGGAAATGGATATTTTGGTGCTGTCCCATCGTTTGGGCTTGGACAAAACGTATTGGATTCATCTGTTCTCTTATTCAAACCTTCCATATCGCGCATGAATTCAATGTACAAGGTTTTATCACAATCAGATGTTGGCAGGTATTATCAAGATCAGGCATTTCTTAATGATTACTTTTTCGGACCATTGAGCCCCTCATGCACCACTTGGTCCCGTTTACCAGAATTGTTTAACTTCCAGCTTCTCTCTTACCGCGATTCTGATTCCATGAAATCAGCTTCCATCATTCCTCACTCATTCTGGTCAGTAAAACCGAGCAGCAACAGCCCTGCTGCTAAAATTCATGCTGATTGGTCAGATTCTATGCAAATGCTGTTTACATTTCAGATGGACAAGTACAAGCGAAGTGATGTTGGTCTTATACCAACCAGTATCAGCGATTTGGACCTAATGATACGTGGAAACACTTTCAACCACAAGCTTTTAATCATCACCGTTATGTCGGACGATTCGGAGAAAAAAGTCTTTGATCGAACGATGAGAAATCGAAAACGATACTGTGAAAGACATCTGGAAGTAGTTCATCACCTTCAAAGTGTAATAACAGCAAAAAACGCCGTCTGGCAAAAAGTTTGGACCTTGGAAGAGCTCATTGGAAATGTTGAAAATCACTTCAATTGGGTTTGGCTTTTAGATGGAAGAGATGCCTTGATCATGAACGGTGAAATTGAGTTACGTGCACTTCTTGCAAAACTTGCACTTGAACGTCCTGATTTGGATATGGATGTTTTGATTGCTCGCGATATCAGTCTCGCAATGAATGCTGGATCATTTTTTGTTCGAAACTCTGAATGGACACGTCAAGTTTTTATTCCAGAATGGAAAACTTATGCAGATCATCCTGAGCATAATGATCACTCTTGGCAGGAGCAATGGGCTCTAATGCGAATGTATGATGATGAGAAAAACGATACCACCAAACACCTTTACCAACTTGACCAGAGACGACAAAACCTCTTTAATGCTTTTACGTTTGTAAGATTATACGTTTGTTTTATATAATACTTACGCTTTGGTTAGGGACCTGAACCAACATACAAGCCAGGTGACTTTGTCGTTCATGCACCAAGTATGGGATGGGAAGGATTGTATTCATTCCTTGAGGAAAATGATTACAAAGAATACTGAAAATAATAATAAAGAATATAATCAGAATGGAGTTTTGGTTGTGACATTTTGCCTGTATTAAATTCAATTTATTTCGAGACTTTTTCCAGTTTTGATCCGTTTGACCTGTTCCTTTTTAATCTTTGTTTCATTTAGAGTCCACTTAAGACCAAAATGTTGAACACCAAGTAATACTTGCTGTTGTAGCTGATCCATTTGATCTGCTGCCACTTTGTTATCACTTGAATATTCTGTTGCGGCTTGTTTCAGGAAAGGATATATGCTGACACACATTAGATGATGCTTTGAGTTGGTTTTTTTCAGGACCTGTATGAAATCCCTTGTTTGGCAGTAGGTTTAAAGACTGAAAAAAGCCGTCTTCTGATTGGATTCCAAAATTCTCATCAAGAGCTTGTTAGGTATTGTGTCGCAGGTTTGGCACTTAAATTCTGTTAATTACCCCCAACTCACCCAATGCCTTTTCAGCATGCGCTGACGCCACCAATTGCGTCATTTGCTGCCAAATATGGAATTACTAATTCGCTTTATTGTGTAGGTGAATCTACTCCAAGTCCGCACCAAACAACACACACACCACTTCCAAAGCCATAAGCCTGGTTTCCTACGTACCATTGCTATATGTCTTCGGAGTGATATTCGAATAAAGTATTCCATATACAATTGCCCTATAGAGATGAATGGATATAACCATAATATCCAACAGAGCTTTCAGAGCAGCATTCAAATACGAGGAGCAATGTTGTTGGAACAACCCATCTTGCCAAGGCATGGAGGACAGAGTATTAGGGTGAGTCGAATTTGGGTATAATTGCAGCTTTCCTTATAGAACTGTATGGACCATAGTTGAGGATGTTGAAGCTAGGTGGGTTCCATGGCTGCCAATTTTTCTCGCTTTTAAGAATAACATGCAAGCTGAATCATGCCCAGCTTGTTTTCCTATGATATTTTACCTAGTTTGCTATGAGCTTCAAATATAGTCTCTTTGGGAGGTATATTGGATCTTTCATTCAACAGACTGAAAACTGAATTGTAGCTTCTAACTGCAGCCAGGTTGTGCAATAATAAATGTTGCCCCTGTTCCATTAAGAATTCTTCCATTAGGTTTTGCCATGCGCAATGCTTCAACAGACAGGAATCCAAGCAGCCTTGACATTTGCTGGAGCATAAGATGCTGTCCCAGCTCTGTTAGGAATTCTTCTACAGTCGCAGTGGGTCTTGCCCAAGAGAGTAATGTCATCAACATGTGAACCAATGGGAACAATTCAGCCATGGTCAACAGAAAGACAAAGTGGACCTGTTATTGGAGACGGAGACATGATAAATTCTTCTGCAAGCGAGGCTTTGAGAGTGATTGGCGTCTTCTTGACCATAAGCAAAGAGTATAATTATGTTGATAAAGGAAAGTCTGACAAACCGTAAAATAAGAAACCATGACTGTATATGGAACAGAATGATGATAATGATTTGAATGCAGTCAATATGAATAATAATGATCCAGATTGATGAAATCCACAAGTAAAAATCATGAATTTGATCTGACAACATTCAACTCTGAATCAGTATATATGGCCTTTTGGAAACTGCAAATTGCATGTGATGCAACTCCTGTTCCTTCATCATAAAGTAAGCTGCCTCCAGCTGTAAAGTTTTGTTTGGTCCTTGGTCCTTGGGAAATAGATGCACAAATAGCATATCCGCATAGTAACGAGATGAAAGGTTCTTTCATATGGAAGATCTGATGGCAGAAGTTTAGTCGAGAAACGTGGGATCCAGTATTACCAAGTAATACTTAATGATTTTGACTTTACAATGCTTCTACAAGTTTTGCTCTGGATTCTTCCCTTAGCAAGTCATCATCATTCTTGATTTCAGAAACTGATTCAATATTAAAGTTATCCTTGACGTTTTGTATGATTTGCGAAAGAGTATCATGTCTTGATTCCACAGTCCTGACGCAACATTTAGTGTGAATATGGGACTTGCATCAATAGCAATACGCTCAAGTTCTTCTTGAACGGAGAGTGTCATTTCTTGACGTTGAAGGAGTACAAAGGATTTACAAATAATCCCTTTTGCAGCGGCCATTTTATGAAACAACGTCATCCTGCTTTCATCACTAATCTCAGACATTCGAAGTAATATTTCCCGTATCGTGCATCCAATATATTGTATCTCTCTACAATGTCGGACGTTGGTTGCTCTGCGATTCGTGTTTGATCATTTCCCAAAACCTCATATCAACAAATCTTTCATTCATGAGAGCAGAATAGTGGACAAAGTATCATCAGTGCAGATAATATAAAAGTGTACGTATAGAGTGGAGGTGACCCCTGGGCAACCAAACATTGAAACAGATTCCAGAGGCGTCGTATCAAGAGGACTCAACAAGCTATCAATAGAATGCCACAGGAATGACTTAAAAGCTGGTGTTTTGAATGCATTGAGCGCCTCGCTGCTGTACGACTTGTGATTGACAAGTTCCTTGACTTGACAAACAAGAAACTCGCACAGTAATTATGGGTGAGCATCCGTAAACAAACACAGGAGTTGAGTTTTTGGTCATGATGTGCAGTGAATGTGCTAGCCAGCTTCGGTGACTGCATTCACGTATTCCATGGGTTTGTTGCTTGCGTCAATACAATTCCTTCCCAGAATCAGCAGCATTTCTTTGTTTGTT